CTTCTGAATCTATTTCCTTCCATATTCATTACTACTACTAAAGCCCAGAGACTTAGTTGATTAGTGTAAAAATAACAAACGCTACTAATTATCAAAAGTTTTTATATACCAGGCAGGCACTCTTTTAAAACTTGATATAAATTGTCTTTTCTAATCATCCTATTATTAGTTTCCTAGGACTGAAGTAACAAGGCAAACTAAATGGCTCAAAAATAAAGGAATGCAAGAGAGTTCCCTTTTCTCCGCACCCTCTCCAGCATTTATCGTTTGTAAAATTTTTGATGATGGCCATTCTGACTGGTGTGAGGTGATACCTCATTGTAGTTTTGATTTGCATTTCTCTAATAATTAGTGATGTTGAGCATCCTTTCATGTGTTTGTTGGCAATCTGTATATCTTCTTTGGAGAAATGATTGTTTAGGTCTTCTGCCCATTTTTGGATTGGGTTGTTTGTTATTTTGATATTGAGCTGCATGAGCTGCTTGTATATTTTGGAGATTAATCCTTTGTCAGTTGCTTCGTTTGCAAAGGGTTGTCTTTTCATCTTGTTTATGGTTTCCTTTGCTGTGCTTTTAGGTTTCATTAGGTCCCATTGTTTTTGTTTTTATTTCCCTTTCTCTAGGAGGTGGGTCAAAAAGGATCTTGCTGTGATTTATGTCACAGAGTGTTCTGCCTATGTTTTCCTCTAAGAGTTTTATAGTGTCTGGCCTTACATTTAGGTCTTTAATCTATTTTGAGTTTTGTGTATGGTGTTAGGGAGTGTTCTAATTTCATTCTCTTACATGTAGCTTTCCAGTTTTCCCAGCACCACTTATTGAAGAGGCTGTCTTTTCTCCATTGTATATTCTTGCCTCCTTTATCAAAGATAAGGTGACCATATGTGCATGGATTTATCTCTGGGCTTTCTACCTGGTTCCATTGATCTATATTTCTTTTATTGTGTCAGTACCATACTGTCTTGATTACTGTAGCTTTGTAGTATAGTCTGAAGTCCAGGAGCCTGATTTCTCCAGCTCCGCTTTTCTTTCTCAAGATTCCTTTGACTATTCGGGGTCTTTTTTGTTTCTATACAAACTGTGCAATTTTCTGTTCTAGTTCTGTGAAAAATGCCATTGGTAGTTTGATAGGGATTGCATTGAATTTGTAGATTGCTTTGGGTAGTGTAGCCATTTTCACAGTGTTGATTCTTCCAAGCCAATAACATGGTATATCTCTCCTCTGTTTGTATCATCTTTAATTTCTTTCATCAGTGTCTTATAGTTGGAATGTAAATTGATACAGCCACTATGGAGAACAGTATGGAGATTCCCTAAAAAACTAAAAATAGAACTACCATATAACCCAGAAATCCCACTACTGGGCATATACCCTGAGAAAGCCATAATTCAAAGAGTCATGTACCACAATGTTCATTGCAGCACTATTTGCAATAGCCAGGACATGAAAGCAACCTAAGTGTCCATCAACAGATGAATGGATAAAGAAGATGTGGCACATATATACAATGGAATATTACTCAGCCATAAAAAGAAACGAAATTGAGTTATTGGTAATGAGGGGGATGGACCTAGAGTCTGTCATACAGAGTGAAGTCAGTCAGAAAGAGAAAAACAATTACCATATGCTATCACATATATATGGAATCTAAAAAAAAAGATTCTGAAGAACCTAGAAGCAGGACGGGAATGAAGACGCAGACATAGAGAATGGACTTGTGGACACGGGGAGAGGGAAGGGTAAGCTGGGAAGAAGTGACAGAGTGGCATGGACATATATGTACACTACCAAATGTAAAATAGATAGCTAGTGGGAAGCAGCCGCATAGCACAGGGAGATCAGCTCGGTGCTTTGTGACCACCTAGAAGGGTGGGATAGGGAGGGTGGGAGGGAGACCAAGAGGGAGGGGATATGGGGATATATGTGTATGTATAGCTGATTCACTTTACTATACAGTAGAAACTAACACAACAATGTAAAGCAATTACACTCCAATAAAGATGTTAAAAGTAAAATAAAGGAATGGATTCTTTCACAGTTTTGAAGCCTAGCAATCTGAAATCAAAGGGTTGGCAGGACCATGATCTTATGGGGAGGGGATCCTTCCTGTCTCTTCAAGCTTCTGGTGGCTCCAGGCATCCCTTGACTTGTGGCACTGCAACTTCAATCTCTTCCACCATCTTCACAGGGACTTGTCTTCTGCGGGCATGTCTTCTTGTCTTCTGTCTGTTTCAAACCTCCTTCTGCCTTTTTCTTATAAGGACCCTGTCACTGGATTTAGAGCCCAGCCAGAAAATCCAGCACAATGATCACCTCATCTCAAGAGCCTTAACTTAATTACCTCTGCAAAGACCTTTTTCCTAAGTATGGTATGATCTATGGTATCATAGATTCCAGGGGTTAGAAAGTGGACATATCTTTTAAAAACACCATTCAACCCCCCAAAAAGTAAATATACTTATTAGTTGAGTCAGTTGAGACTTAGAGAATTTAAGGGATTTGTCCAAGGTCACACAGTTAATATGAATGTGAGCTTCACATTTGATTTATGGCTTCCTTACCTCCAGAAAAATAATTTCAATACTTTTCTGAAAGGAGTAACAGTATCAAGAAATTTGTCACTTGGATGCCAAATGCTGCTTCTTAAATACATTCATTACTAGACTATCCTACACCACTAGTGTTATCTTCCAAAACTATAGATCAGATTCATCATGCCTGGCATGTTGTCTGTCACTTAGAAGGTGCTCAATAAACAGTTGTCAGTAAATGAATGAGATCATGCCACCAGCCTCATCAAAGTCACCAAACATTCCACATTGCTTAAAAACTAAGCCTCACATTCCAACAAAGCATTCGAGACCCTCCAACCCTCCAAAAGATTAAAAAGTATAATCCTGGAATTACGATGAATTCCTAATTCTTAGAAAGGCTGTACTTAGAATGAGTACAGCCTTTCTAAGAATGTCCAGAAATCATACAAGAAGAAATTGATAAATTTGGCCACACACATATCTAAAAGTTGATGGAAGAATTTCATAATAAGGCCAAAAAACAGTGGCCTGGAAAAATATTCCCAACATGTATTAGTACATATGCCTAATTTCCTAAAGATATACATAGCTCCTGAGGAAACAGGCGCCTGCATTTATTGTTGTGTGACAATAAACTTGTTAAGCTTCTTTGAAGGGAAGATTAGAAATAAAAATAAACTTATCTTTAAATTCATATCCTCTCCTCTTTGAACCAGCATTTCCACCCTTAGGAATTTATTCTGTAGATCTTCTCTCACTTTGGCACAAAGCTATTCACTGCTATACCCTTTGTGAAACAAAACTGATTGGAAATAACCTAAATGCCCACCAATAGGAGATAGTTAAATCCATTACAGTACAACTATATCATGGGATACTATGAGTCCCTTTTAAAATGAGGCATGTCTATATATACATTAGTATGGAGGAAGTTAACTCAGGGGACAGAACAGTGTGTATAAAACGTTACCATTTTGTAAACAACAAAAAGGACACACATATATATATGCACCTATATGCCAGGCATACCTATGAATATTTTTGGAAGGATAAACCAGAAACTTGTAACTGTATTTGCCTTTGAGAAAAGAACTGTGAGACTGAGTACAGGGACAGAAGGAAGATTTATTTTTCACTGTAAACTCTATTGCATTGTTTGAATTTATTTTGCCATGTGCCTGCCATGTGATAGAGAGACAGAGAGAATCTATAAGCTAATTTTCACCTAATTTTCCAACTTGATCTCCTACTGTATCCTATCGTACATGACAATTCATTGCTTCTCAAACCCACTGACTATGATCATATTGAGAGTGTGGGAGTGTGTGTGTGTCTAATATGCTATCATCCTTGACTCTCACGCTTTCTGCCTGTATAAATCCTGCCCCTCAAAAGCTCTTCTGTGCAACCTTCCTGATCTTCAGTGTTGAAACTAACTATTCTGAACTCAGAAAACCCCTGTTCATTCTGCTTTGAATTATAGTTGTTTACAAGTTGGTCCCCCTCATTCAACTAGCTCCTAAAGGGAAATGTGCATCTTGTTGGCCTCTGTGTTCCTCAAAGTACCTGGAACACAACAGCCTTGCTGTGTGCATGTCATTAACTAAAAAATATTAAGTAGAAGAGTCAACTAGGAAAACCCAAGTCTCTTACGATTAAACCCAATTTTAAGGATGATAGAGAAAAATATTTAGCCCAATCACAGAAATGCTATTTAGCATGAATATCTAAAAGAGCCAACAAGAGCTCCTCAAAGCTGAAATATAAAGCCAATACTTCTTATCGAATAGGGTTATTACATGAGATGTATGTGAAATTCAATAAGAAGTTACAGTTGGAATATATTAGAGGTAAGAGAAGAATGAAAGAAAAATGATTTCAGTTTTAATATGGAAAAGATAGCTCTTGACATTTTGTTTTTTGGGTTTTTTAGTCAAACACACCAAGCCTGGTCATAAGATAGGCAAACACTCATTTTTATCCTGAAGCAGGTTACTTCTCAGATTGGGACTAGCAATGCCTTCCACCTTTGCAGCCCGCCTTCCCCCCGCTCCCCACACACAAAGGAAAGGTTCACTGCAATGCAATTCAATCTATTGCTTATTAACTACAGTTTTTCCTAAGAAAACTTTCTCAGATCATATTATGTGTGCCGTAATTTTTTTTTTTACTATTTACTTTTTGCTGTCATCTAAACCCATTTCCTCTTGTCCTTGGTGATATAGGAGTGGAGGGTCCCATTACTCCATATATTTAACTTTCATCAATAAAACCAATTTTTAATGCTTCTAGAATAGTGCTATTCTGCTTTAGTCTCTATAAATAGGTACACTGACATCCAGCCCACCCCATTTCTGATGGCCTTGTAACAACATACAATAAAAAATATAAAACAAACATAATAAAATAGAACAAATATAATAAAATAAAAATTAAAAGTGATAGTGATTAAAGTCAACTTGAACTTACTGCTAATGCTGTTTCATACTCTCCAGCAGCCAAGTGCGCTAAGCCCAAGTAATAGGAAGCTGCTTCTTCCATCTTTTTGTCATTTCCTAAAACGAAAATGTAGAAAAAATCATTACGGTATTAAAGACATTGGTTTATTACAACAAACAGAATCTTTGCTTTTTAAGAGAGTAGGAAGTTATTATAACAAAGTATACAGATTTATATCAACAATCTCTGAAACCTAACTGTGTACTCATCAAAAAGGCTGACGTTGGAGAAAAGGGAACACTCTTGCACTGCTGGCGGAAATGTGAATTGGTTCAGCCACTATGGAGAACAGCATGGAGGTTCCTTAAAAAACTACAAATAGAACTACAATATGACCCAGCAATCCCACTACTGGGCATATACCCTGAGAAAACCAAAATTCAAAAAGAGTCATGTACCAAAATGTTCATTGCAGCTCTATTTACAATAGCCCGGAGATGAAAACAACCTAAGTGCCCATCATCGGATGAATGGATAAAGAAGATGTGGCACATATATACAATGGAATATTACTCAGCCATAAAAAGAAATGAAATTGAGCTATATGTAATGAGGTGGATAGACCTAGAGTCTGTCATACAGAGTGAAGTAAGTCAGAAAGAGAAAGACAAATACCGTATGCTAACACATATATATGGAATTTAAGAAAAAAAATGTCATGAAGAACCTAGGGGTAAGACAGGAATAAAGACACAGACCTACTGGAGAATGGACTTGAGGATATGGGGAGGGGGAAGGGTGAGCTGTGACAGGGCGAGAGAGAGGCATGGACATATATACACTAGCAAACGTAAGGTAGATAGCTAGTGGGAAGCAGCCGCATGGCACAGGGATATCGGCTCGGTGCTTTGTGACCACCTGGAGGGGTGGGATAGGGAGGGTGTGAGGGAGGGAGACGCAAGAGGGAAGGGATACGGGAACATATGTATATGTATAACTGATTCACTTTGTTATAAAGCAGAAACTAACACACCATTGTAAAGCAATTATACCCCAATAAAGATGTTAAAAAAAAAAAGGCTGATGTTAATACAATTTACCTGGGTCACAGATAATAAGTGAGTAACATGCATTAGCAATATAATTATGAGGAGTTTCCCTTTACATACAAAACCCAGTATTAGCATTTTGACATTCATATATAAATTCCATACCAGTCCACCATGTAAAACCTATAGTCATTCATCACAGCTGCGACTACATATGTGAAATAATTGATAAAGAGTATCAGCCTGGGCTTCCCTGGTGGCGCAGTGGTTGAGAGTCCGCCTGCCGATGCAGGGGATGCGTGTTTGTGCCCCAGTCCAGGAAGATCCCACGTGCCGCGGAGCGGCTGGGCCCGTGAGCCATGGCTGCTGGGCCTGCGCGTCCGGAGCCTGTGCTCCACAACGGGAGAGGCCACAACAGTGAGAGGCCCGTGTACCGCAAAAAAGAAAAAAAAAGTTGATTTTATTTCTACACACGAGCAATGAACAATCTGAAAATAAAAGAAAAAATTCCATTTTCAACAGCATCAAAAAGAATAAAATATTAGAAATAAATGTAACAAACCAAGGGCAAAATGTGTACACTGAAAACTATAAAACATCATTAAAAGAAATTAGATAACATGTAAATAGACTGATAACCATATTCATGAATTGGATGACAGTGTGAAGATAGCGATATTTCCCAAACTGATCTACAAATTCAATGCAATCCCTACCAAAATCCCAGCTGTCATTTTTGGAGAAGTAGACAGACTGATCCTAAACATCATGTGGAAATATAAGCAATGTGGAAGGACCAAAACAATATTGAAAAAGGATAATTTGGAAGACTCGCACTTCCCAATTTTAAAACTTACTACAAAACCACAATAAAAAATATGTAGTAGTAGAATAAGGACAGACATGAGGATCACTGCAATAGAATTAAGAATCCAGAAAACAACCCTCACATTTATGGTCAATTATTTTTAACAAGGGTCCCAAGACAATTTATTGAGAAAGAACAGCATTTTCAACAACTGGTACTGGGGCAACTGGATATCCACATACAAAACGTGAAGTTGGACCCTCTTGACATCACACACACACACACATACACACACCTAAATATAGGAGTTAAAACTATAAAACTCTTAGAATAAAGTGCAGAAGTAAATCTTCATGAGTTTGGATTAGTGGAAGCCTTCTTAGTTATGAAACCAAAAGCACAAACAACAAAAGAAAAAACAAATTACTTTGCACTTTATCAAATTAAAAACTCGGGCTTCAATGGATACCATCAGAAAGTGAAAAGAAACCAAATCTGATGAAGGACTTGCATCTAGAATATTAGAGGATTCTTGTAACTCAATAATAAAAGGACAAAATAATCCAATTAAAAATGGGCAAAGGAATTGCATAGACATTTCTGCAAAGAAGATATACAAATGGGCAATAAGCACGTGAAAAGATGATCAACATCATTAAGCAACAGGGAGATGCAAAATAAATTCACAGTGAGATATCACTTTATACCTACTAAGATGACTATAATAAAAAGACAGAAAGTAACAAGTACTGGTGAGGATGTGGCTAAATTGAAACCCTTTATACATTGTTGATGGGAATGTAAAATGGTTCAGCGACTTGGGAAAACTCTTTGCCAGTTCCTCAAGAAGTTAAACATAGAATTGTACCACCCAGCAATGCCACGTCTACGTATATACCCAAAGGAACTGAAAACATGTACACAGATGTTCATAGTAGCATTAATCATAATAGACAAAAGGTGGGAACAACGTAAATGTCCATCAACTGATGAATGGATAAAGAAAATGTGATACAACCACACAATAGTGTATTATTTGGCCATAAAAATGAATGAAGTAGTGATACCATCTACAAGATGGATGAATGTTGAAAACATGATGCTAAGTGAAAGAAGCTGGACTCAAAAGAATACACATAGCATGATTCCATCTGTGTGAACTATCCAGAAGAGGTAAATCCACAGAGACGGAAAGTAGATTAATGGTTGCTAGGGCATAGGGGAAGGAGGGTATGGGCAATGCCTTCTAATGAGTATGGGGTCAGTGTTGATGTTTGTACAACTTTGTGGATTTATTAAAGAGCACTGATGTCTGAAAGATGAAAATAATAGAATAATAGACTCATGAGACCACTGTATGGCTGGTACTATACTTGTGCATTACACCAAGGTGTCCTAACTAAGGTGCACAGTGGATGTCGGTCCTCCTTAAGTACCATGTAAATCAATGTGGGAGGCAGGCGTTATCCATGCAATCGTCAGCTTGCTGCTTCAGGCTCCCTGACCAAAGTAGGAGACAACAGTAAGAAGGGATGCTTTGTCCCAGAGCATTTCAGCGGCTGTCAGAGCTCTGTAAAATGCTGTGCAATCATTTAACCTGTCTACTGTCTTATATGAAAAACATGGGCACAAATATTTATTGGCTTTAAAAGATATTAAAAATTATTACAGCAGAAGAAGCAAGTTTTCTCCTATTCTCTTCATCTGTCCTTCAGAAAGTGAGAGATGCTTTCAGAAAGGAGACGGCTTGGCAGGCTCGGAGTATTGGAAGAGGGCCTAGGAACCTTGCTTTCTTTGTGAACAACCTTACAATTTAGCAAATGTGAACCTAAAGTGAAATCCCTTTTCCTACCTGATAACATTAACTTACATTAAAAGTCCACATAGGAACTTCCGGGAAGATGGCGGAAGAGTAAGACGCGGAGATCACCTTCCTCCCCACAGATACACCAGAAATACACCTACCCGTGGAACAACTCCTACAGAACACCTACTGAACGCTGGCAGAAGACCTCAGACCTCCCAAAAGGCAAGAAACCCCCACGTACCTGGGTAGGGCAAAAGAAAAAAGAATAAACAGAGACAAAAGGATAGGGATGGGACCTGCACCAGTGGGAGGGAGCCGTGAAGGAGGAAAGGTCTCCACACACTAGGAAGCCCCTTCGCGAGCGGAGACTGCAGGTGGCGGAGGGGGGTAGCTTCGGAGCCAAGGAGGAGAGCACAGCAACAGGGGTGCGGAGGGCAAAGCGGAGAGACTCCCGCACAGAGAATCAGGGCCGACTGGCACTCACCAGCCCGAGAGGCTTGTCTGCTCACCCGCCGGGGCGGGCGGGGCTGCGAGCTGAGGCTCGGGCTTCGGTCGGAGCGCAGGGAGAGGACTGGGGTTGGCGGCGTGAACACAGCCTGCAGGGGGTTGGTGCGCCAGGGCTAGCCGGGAGGGAGTCCGGGGAAAATGTCTGGAGCTGCCGAAGAGGCAAGAGACTTTTTCTTCCCTCTTTGTTTCCTGGTGCGTGAGGAGAGGGGATTAACAGCGCTGCTTAAAGGAGCTCCAGAGACGGGCGCGAGCCGCGGCTAAAAGCACGGACCCCAGAGACGGTCATGAGACGCTAAGGCCGCTGCTGCCGCCACCAAGAAGCCTGTGTGCGAGCACAGGTCACTCTCCACACCCCCCTTCCGCGGAGCCTGTGCAGCCCGCCACTGCCAGGGTCCCGGGATCCAGGGACAACTTCCCCGGGAGAACGCACGGCCCACCTCAGGCTGCTGCAACGTCACGCCGGCCTCTGCCGCCGCAGGCCCGCCCCGCACTCCGTGCCCCTCCCTCACCCTGGCCTGAATGAGACAGAGGTCCCGAATCAGCGGCTCCTTTAACCCGGTCCTGTGTGAGCGAAGAACAGACGCCCTCCAGCGACCTACACGCAGAGGCGGGGCCAAATACAAAGCTGAGCCCCTGGGAGCTGTGAGAACAAAGAAGAGAGAGGGAAATCTCTCCCAGCAGCCGCAGAAGCAGCGGATTAAAGCTCCACAATCAACTTGATGTACCCTGCATCTGTGGAATACATGAATAGACAATGAATCATCCCAAATTGAGGAGGTGGACTTTGAGAGCAAGATTTATGATTTTTTCCACTTTTCCTCTTTTTGTGAGTGTGTATGTGTATGCCTCTGTGTGAGATTTTGTCTGTATAGCTTTGCTTCCACCATTTGTCTCAGGGTTCTATCCGTCCGTTTTTTTATATTTGTTTGTTTTTTAATTTTTTCT